GGCCTAAGGTTACTGCCACTAGGCTTTCTTGCTTAGTTTAAGAATAACAAATTATTAGCATATTAGATTACTGCTCCAGGCACTAGAAAATCCTTAGGAAGCAAGTGCTTTGAGCAGAGCACTGTGCTAGGCGTGATATGCACTCAGAGATGGAGGCATAGCCAGAAGGAATCTCTCTTATTCCTTCCCTTTCTAATTTTTCAGACTGTATAAAAATGAAAGGACCAAGAATCAGTTTTAGGTTCCTGTTCTGAGCACAGGAAGGCACTATTTCCTTTTAAAATGCAAGTCCAAATAAAGACAGAAAAGGAGAGGGAGTCTGGCAAGGAGAAGGGAATCAAGGCAGTTTGTATTAGTTTTCCATTGCTGCATAACAAATTACCAAAAACCTGGTGGCTTAGAACAAGATCGATTTATCATCTCATAATTTCTGTATGTTCTCTGCTCAGGTTCTCACAAGACTGAAATCAAGGTGTCGGCGGGTCATATTCCCATCTGGAGGTTGGGGTCCCCTTGGAGGCTCATGTAGTTGTTGGCAGAATTCTGTTACTTGTAGTTGTAGAACTGAGATCCATGTTTTATTGCTGGCTGTTGGCAGGAGGTCCCTGTCAGCTCCTGGAAGCTGCCTACTCATGATGTGGTAGCTCATGTCTTCAAGGTCAGCAGCAGAATCTCTCTCCAGCCACTATGACAGTCTTATGTAACACAGCACAACCACTGGAGTGACTGTCCCATCACCCTGCTCATAACCTATAAATTCACAGGTCCCATCTCCACTCAAGGGGTAGGGATTACACATTAGGTGGTAGGTATCTTGGGACCCATCTGAGACTTCTGCCAACCATAGAATCCCCTCTAATAGTTAGAAGAAAGCAATGACAATCAAACATTTAAAACAACTTAAAAGAAATGTGTATGTCTGCATTTTCCAAACTGGTGCACCAGCCTTCTGTCAAATGTGAATAGACGTCACTCTACAAAAAGCCTCCATGATCAGAAAAGTTTGGGAAGACATGAGTTTAATCAGGTTTAACATGTTTCTTTACTGAACAGAGTATGGGATTTCCCCAAACATATTTAACCAAGGATTTTTTTTTTTTAGTTTGAGCTATATAAATCTACCACTTTATTAATATTACTGTCATACCAATATTACATTGAGAGCAGCTGTATTTTTGCTTTAGCATTGTCATTTATTTCCCTCCATAATGGCTTTCCTGATACCTTTGTCTACAAGATCCCTACTTCCCTGAATTTCGGTAGCACTAATGGTCAACCTCACTCGATTGGCAATTTGCTTGTAATTGATAAATACAAAATACTTTTACTTTTTGATGGTCATCCTCTACTAAATTGAGTCTCTTTGAAAGCTGGCTTAAAACAACAGTGTAGAGCACTGGAGGCAGCTGTGCAGTGGTGAAGTGTGTTGGCTGAGATTTCTGGGGATCAGAGTTATCCTGGGGTAATTCATCAGCTTTGGAAATAATGAGTAAACCAGTTACCCTGTCTCTGACCCTCTCCTGCCTCATCTTTAAATTCACAGTGCTGCAAGAGATGATTCCTAAGGGCTCTTCCCACCTAATATTCGATGTATGCCCTGCCCCATCTCATAGGTGTTTGTTTTTACAGTGTCTGGACCACAGTAAGCACTTGACAAATATTTGTCCACTGATTAATGGTGAGCTTGCATCATTGTGGGTTCCAGTATCTTATCAGTACTCTCCTATGTTCTAGGAGATTGCTAGCTTCCCGCTGGCCAAGGTGCTCACCCTCAGTTTTGGGCATCTGGCTTATGCTATCTTCAGGTCACAACTGACCACTAATGTTGGTTTGGCCTAGCCTCATGCTTCTGTAGTATTAGTGGTCACCTTCTTCAGCAAGATTGGGGTCATCCCCTAGGAGGTCCTGCTGGCTTAAAATATCTTCCCTTCTCAATGCTTAAGACTCCTATTAAAGCTTCATTCTCTACTATTTTGTCTCAGAACACTCTTACAACTATATGTATATAAGTAAATAATTATATGAAGAATAATTCAATAACTCATCCACTAGAAAGTAAGTCACCTTGTATAGGCATGTAATGTGAGCAACAAACTAACCTCTACTGTTGTAAGTCACCAAAATTTTGGAGATGTTTGTTACAGCAGCATAACACAGCTTGCTTTGATATGGAAATGTTAGGAGAAAGGAACAGGAGTTTGATATTTGACTACTGAGGGATTTTGTGCTTGTGGGGTTTCAGGTGGTGACTTCAAAGTTCTTGCTTCTTGAAGAACTGCAACAGACCACCAGCAGCAGCTAAGAATTTGTTAAAAGTATGGACTCTTGAGCCCCACCTAGTCCCATTGATCCAGACCCTGCACTTTTATTAGATCTCTAGGTGATTCTAAAGAAGACTAGAGTTTGAGAAGCAGTAGTCTATAGGCAGCTGAAAATGAAACTCAGAAGCACCTGAAACAAATTTGAGCTAGAGACATAGCTGTGAGAACTATCCATACACCACATGTTCTCAAAGTGTGGTCCCTAGACTGTCACGTGAGAACTTTTTAGAAATGTGGATTCTTAGGCCTCAACCAGGATGAATTGAATTGGAAACTCTGTAAGTGGGGCCCAGCAATCTGTCTTAACAACCCTACGGGTGACTTTCATACACACTAAAGTTTGGGAACCACTGCCATATGACAATGAGAACTGAAATTATAGGAGTTAATATTCTCCTGAAAGAAGGAAGGGAGGTTGACATGGGCAATTACAATATTGTTCCTATGAGAAACTCTGATCTGCTTTATGGTAATCTTCTTTATGCTATATCTTCTAGAATGTACATGGGGAAAATCATGGCCTGGCCATGGACTGTTCTTACCACTGTGGTGATGACCTCTCAAATCTGCTTTTCTATTGAGTGGAAGTACTAGGACAGTCATCTGGGTAAAGATGGAGGTGACAAAAAGGAGGTGGGCATCCAAACACCACTTTGCATTTTGCCTACCTGATCTTGCTAAGGCTTAATACACTCAGAGCACATCCTAAGTGCTACAGGGAACACTGCCAGAACATGCCCTTCCTGGCTACAAGTCCCCTGGAACAGATTCTGTCCTCTCTCTTTTATCAAAAAGGCAAGGTAAGAAGGTGGAAATACAAATATTACACCCAAGAATCTGTACAGCCACAAGCTAAGTCACACATTATCCCTGGCCATGGCTCATTTTGGGTTGGGATGCCATGGTCCCAGTGCATTCATTCATTTGTTTGTTTGTTTACTCATTCACATCTTCACCCAGTATTTAATGAGTGACAGTTATGTATAAGGCCTGCAAGGCAAATAGAGAGGTCCTTTGTTTTGTGCTTATAGAAAGGATTAAGTGGGGTGCCAGCTAAGAAAGTCATGGTTCTTCCCTCCATCCAAGACTCTTAATGATGCATTGAAGTTACTTCACTTTAATCAGTGAGAAACCAGGCTAAGGCTGTCTCTAGAATGCATCATATTGTGATTTCCTAGTCTCACTGTTCTCTTTTGCAAAGGGAAAAACAAAACAAAAACAAAACAAAACAAAACAAAACAAACAAACAAAAACAAACAAACAAACAAACAAACAAAAATATATATATATGTATGTATGTATATATGTATCAGGGATTGAGAAAACCAAGGAAGAAATGCATCCACAGAGGATCATAGAATATTTTGATCCCTACAAAGCCACTTGGCTAGGCTAGTGTGCTAACACATCATTTTCCACAAGGAATTTCCATCCAGATGGGGGATGGCAGATCTGGTGACCAGTTAGAATCATCTGATAAGCCTCCAAACTCTCAAGGCCAACACCAATTCTCAGACCAATTAAACCAGACATCTTGGACTGTGCACTAGGCGCTAGTATTTAAAAATATTTCCTGGGTAATTCCACGCACAGGCAGGGCTGGGAACCACTGTTCCAGGGTGGGTCTAGGTTTCAGGTCTTGGCTCTTTATGGTGCTTCATCTTCTAAAAGTCAAAGTCCTAGTTTCCCAGGATTCTCAGCTCAACTTTTTCAGTTTCAAGAGTTTGTTTTAGAATTCATAATGAGAAGCTATTTTCTTATAAATGAATATAAAATTATTTTCTATATTTATATGGTTAGCACTGAAATTCAGATGCAGATATTTAGTCGGAAGAACAAGTCTTCCTTTTTTCTTATTTAACAAGGTATGCTGGTAATAGATCCACTTTTTAATGAACAATTTCATTCATTACACACTGATTTAGCCTAACTTTGCTACTTATGAAACAGAAGATAATCAAATTCATACATAGACTATATAGATGATGATCGATGCGAACACTTTTTGAAAACAAAGCAGCACAACGTATGAACCAAAACTTAGTAGTAAACACTTCCTTGATTATAAAACAATTGTGAGACTAGTGAAAATAATAGGATAGAGTTGACATAAATAAATTGACCTTTTAAACTGGTGATGTCAATTGTTACAGTATGAATTTACCATAATAAGATTATGAAAACAGAAGAAATGTTTCATATCAGGATCTGAATTAGAAACAACCTACATGTGCTGTAAATCTCATTTTTGGGATGTCTCTCACAGTAACTGGTTCTGTTGCGTCCTTTTTTATCTTGCACTGCCCATTCCCTAGGCAGCACTATCTCTCAGGATGCACTCTTACCTCTTGGGGTTGTTGGTACTGAGAGGCCATCAGAAGGAAAGCTCGCTGGGCCTGGAAAGCACTATGCACCATTTCTGCCTAGGAACAAAGAGGAAGAGGGAAGTTTAAATATTTGAGCTCCTAAACAGTTACCATATGATTCAGCAATTCCATCCCTAGGTATATACCCCTCCAAAATGAAAACTTATGCCCACACAAAACCTTGTAAATAAACATTCACAGCAGCATTATTCATAATTGCCAATGTGGAACAACCAGAATGCCCATCAACTGATGAATAAATAAACAAAATGTGATATATCCAAGCAATGGAATATTATTTGGCATTAAAAAAGAAATGGGGCCGGCCCAGTGGTGCGTTGGTTAAGAGCTGGCTTGGGACGCCAGCTCTGAGCAGTAGGGCCCCGGTTCGGATCCCACATGAGGGCCAGTGACACTGCGCCCTCTACAGCTAAGATGGTGAGCAGCATCTCGACCTGAAGCTGGGCTGCTGTGAGTCGCCAGTAATGGCATAGGCTGCAGCTCCTGCTGCAGTGGGCTGACATAAGCTACTGTGTGTGGCCGGCGGCCAGCGTGAGCGGCCAGCAGCTGGTGTGAGCTACCAAGAGCCACCATGAGCGGCCGTCCAGAGCCCAGCGACTGATCTGCCTCACCTGGGAAGAGCGCAATGATAATACCAACATGGGCCAGTGAAGCAACGTCCTCCACAACTAGACTGAAGAACCAAAGGACAGCAACTTGTCTGTTCCCCTCCCCAAATTCCCCAGAGCTGTTCCCCTCCCCCAATTCCCCAATAAAATCTTAAAAAAAAAAAAAGAAAGACATGAAAGGGCCAGCTGAATGCCTCAGTTGGTTAAGAGCTCGAGATCTGAGCAACAAGATTGCTGGTTCGATTACCACATGGGCCAGTGAGCTGCGCCCGAGCTGAGCTGCCTGTGAGCTGCCAACAGGTGGCAGGATGGCTCAGCTGGTGAGAGCATGTGCTCCTAACAACAAGGTTGCCAGTTTGATTCCCGCATGGGATGGTGGGCTACACCCACCCGCAACTAAGACTGAACACAGCATCTTGAGCTGAGCAGCTGTGAGCTGCCAACAGGCAGCTGGATGGCGACTGGACTTGGAGCTGAGCTAGCTGCACCCTCCACAACTAAGAATGAAGGACAACAATTTGGCTATTCTCCTTCCCCAATTCCCCAACACTGTTTTTCTTCCCAAATTCCTAATAAAATTTTTAAAACAAGAAAGAAAGAAATGAAGTGCTGATGTATGTTACAACATGGTTGAACCTTAAAAACATTATGCTGAATGAATGAAGCCAGTAATGAAAGACCATATTTGTATGATTCCATTTACATAAAATATAATAAGCAAATCTACAGAGACAGAAAGTAGATTGGTGGTTGCCAGGGACTGGTAGGAGGAAGGGATAAGGAGTGACTGCTAATGAGTATAGGGTTTCTTTTGGGGGCAATAAAAATGTTCTGGAGTTAGACAGTGGTGATGGTTTCACAACTTGGCAAATATACTGAAAACCACTGAATTGTACAGTTTAAAAGAGTGAATATTAGAATATGTGAATTATATCTCAATATAGCTGTTAAAAAATGTTTGAGCCCCAAAGTGTAATTGTTTTCAAAGGAGGTCTCTCCTGTCCTCTTTCATAGTGTGCCCAAATCTCTTCCATACCTTCTGGTGAAAATAAAATTGTCCCTTACACCATCCCCATAAAGATATGTTCACTGAGAGCTAGTGGCTTCTATGACTATTCATTAAGATGGGTCTGGAAGATATTTCAGTGCTACCTGTACTCAACTCCCCCTACAGGAGCTTTGTGGGTGGGAATGTCTTCAAACACACAGTGTTCTCTGTCCCACACCCTCTAACCACTCTTAACTAAGTAATTCTTTAATTTTTTAAATGTAAAAAGTTACAGAAGAGTACAAAGAAGAAAATAATTCCAAATACTCACATCACCAACAATGAATCATTTTTGGCATTTTTGTCCCCTAAGTTTTAGAAAATTTGCACAGTTGTTTTCATAACACAAACCATAATGATTTAGAATAAGTTTTTAAATGCTGAAGATTGCAAAGATTCAAGTTTTTAAAAATGTCTCAAAACCTAGACATAATCATCATTAATATTAGATGAACATCATTACAGCTACTTTTTAAGATATATCTGCAGAGAATTTTGTAAAATGAGACCCTACCCTAGGTGCTATTTTTAAAAATAAAAAGTATAAATTTTAATTATGATTGAATAGTAGAGATCAAAAAGAAAAAATTGATTAACTTCAAATAAAAGTGTCTGCACTATAATAAGTATAAGTATGCCCTAAATGATCATTCTAAGGTAAAAAAAGATTATAAAATATTAAGAGGTTGGAATAATTGTGTGTAGAGATTTTAAAGTTCATGATATAATTTTAGAAAATATTGATTGGGAATCAATTGGGAAAGATAAAATCATCAGTACATTTTTACTTCTATCTCTGGTCCCCAATCTTCCATATTTTTTAGTTATTATTTTTATTTTGCCCAATTGGTAGCATTCATATTGTATCTGCAATATTAATCCTCATAGTTGTTTAGGCTCAGTTCTACATTTAAACATACCTAGTGGTTCTCACCAGTCATTTTACCATAACTTCATTTCTGAGTTATTTTGATATGTTTTTATTGGCTGGACTCTCATTATCAAGTCTTTTCTTCAAAAAAAGTCTCAAGGTTGCTTTAGTTCTTCAAGTCTAAGCAGATCTCCCTGCCATCTTTATATTTTAACATCTTGGCTGGGTATAACATCCTTGGGTCTCTCTCTTCCTCCATTTTCAGATAGCATGGCAGTAAAAGTGGCACAGGAGAAATCTGAAGCCAGCTTGGTTTTTTTCCTCTCTTGTAGGAAATTGACTTTTTCTGGTTTGACATCTGAAGAATTATATCTTTATCCTTGGAGTTTAATAGTTTAACTAAGATATGTTTAGGTTTCGTGCATTCTATATTATATTTCCTAGAATAGATTTGACCCTTTACTCATTTATGGGAAATTTTCTTATAGTTTTCAATTCTTCTGTTTCATATGTCCTTAAGGGATGGGGAACAAGGGCAGAGTTGGGAACCAAAAGCTGCTCAGCCATCAGTTCCTGAAATATATTGGCTTAAGTAATGGCCTTTTTGTTCGGTTACTGTCGGTGAATTTTTTTTTAAATCTTTTCCCTCCTCATTTGTGGGGGGTGGGAGGTGGAATTCTGATTTAGCTTTATTTGGTCATAAATTTATATTTTTTACTATTATTGACTTCATCCTTAATCTCCTCCTTGTTAGCTTCACATCTGTTTGATGTCAGTTTCTATCTCTCTGTCATCTTGGATAGTGACTTACTTCTTTAATAAATAGATAAGAACCAGCTTAATACATTTTCAAGTATAGCAGCAATAGAACTAGGTTAATTTCATCCCAGTGTCAATACCAGACAATTTTCTGGGCTGGAAGGGTAAATGTGTTAAGTAACTGGGAAATTATAAGTTTTTGTCATTCTACTTCATTACCACATTTTGGTATCTGACCAATTTTCTAAAATATTTACTGAAATGGGCACCTTAACCTTGTTTCTAACTTTTCTCATTACTTCTCATTCAATGGTTTTTTTCTACTGAGAAAAAAAAATTGCTTGAAATCCAACCAAGATTAGTAGATCATTTAAAATTACAAATTCAATCATCATTAGTATAACTGATTAAGTCTCATGCATGTTTACATGAGGGTGTATTTTCCATTTTGGAGTACATCAACTGTTCTCTTCTTTGTCCCAGAAGCCTGACTGCTGGAGTTATATTGCTGGGATCATATTCCTTAGGGAGGAATAAAGGAGTCTCAAGTTTTCCTGTCCTGGAGCCATTATGACCCTATAAATGTGAAGCTCTGAGCTGCATGAATCTTCATCCATGTATCAAAACGTGTCTTTTCAGTGGTTCAGAAGGACTTTTGTCAACCACATTTCCAAAAAGAAGACTGCAGAATACAACTTTCCAGAGCTTGGATATAAATAAAAACGTTGCACTTCTCCCAGCAACAATAATATAGAGGTATTGTTTTCATCTATGAAAAGCCTTGCAGAGTCGACTGAATTATAGTTGCTGTGGGAACAGTAATTTGGAATCATCTGACTACTTTAGTTAAAATTGCCGCACGGAGGTAACATTAACAATATTTTTGTAGTTATCTCAGGATGAACACACTATCATTAGCTTTAGAAATAACATTTAGCCTGTGGCTAATAGAGCAATTTTCTGGTGGGTTTGACTAGTGAAGATGGCCAATTTTATTAATTAGTCTCTTCCCCAAATGGCCTTTTCACTCAATAATAGGGTTGGAGGTTGGAGCAAAGAATCGCTGAATACCTAGATATCTGCTTCACCTCTCCCTTTCACTTTGCTTATGTAGACAAATCTGAGGGTTCAGCTGTGCAACTGTGTACTTCTTCCAGCTCCCTGGAACTCTGGGCCTAATTTGCAAACTCTAAACCACATTCATTTTTAACCTCATCAGTCCACATTTCAAAGGATTTTTATTCCACCTTTGAAATATTCTGACCGACCTGCTTCTTACTTCTGGAAAGTTTCATGAGTGCCCTCAAACAGACAGCATCCTATTTAGGAGCAATTTGACTGAACCTGCTGAGTTCTGATAACTCCAAAGGGAGAATTTGGCAGCTCACTCACACAGCTCAAAACATTGTGAAAGAAAAAGCCAAACGTAGGGATTTCCAGTAATGACCAATAATTGAGGGTTTTTGCTGAGCTTGTCCATCACACACGAGCAGGGCTCCGAGAGCATCAGTGAGCTTTGTGGGTATGCATCTGCCTGTGAGTACATGTATGCAGAGAGGAAAGGGACAGTTTGGGTAAGAGTGAAGGCTGTGCATTTTATTTGAGCTCTATCAATTATCATGTAGGCAACTGGGGTTCTTGAACAGATGGGTTGGTGGACCACCTTGTTCTGTGGTCCTAAGGGAGATAGTAGAGAGAGAGTTTTCATAATTGGTTTAAAGCAAGCCTCGGGGTAAGCAGATACCAGCTA